GGGGAGGGGGGAACTCTTTTTCTTGATTTGGTAATTAATATTTGAGTTGTATAATATTGGTCTTGCTATTTTGAGGATTTTTAACATTTTTATGGATATCATTGTGCTTCATATGACCACTTTATATTACATTCGATTATACTAATATTATATTATAAGAGGAAGCTTTAACTGGCTCAATCAGATAGGAGTTGTACGACTTTATGACCAATAGACTATTGTGATGACAGGTAAATTTGAATTGTACGACTTTATGACCAATTTAATTTATTAACAATCAACGATTCAAATAGACTATTGTAATATCTAACTTTACTTGTAAAAAGTTCAATTTTAATCCATGAAAGTGTATTTTTGATATATTGTACTGATTGTTTTTATCATGATGTATGTCAAATAATGTATTTGAAATATCATTTTATTTATGTTATAAGTCTATGTTATATTAGTTGAGTAATGAAACGAGTTTGGAATTGTAAAAATATTGGATTAATTTAGGCGAGTTTGGCTACTCATTGTTTAAACAACTCTTAACTTAGCTCCTTTTGCCATTATATGATGAGTCATTTGTTGATTTTAAGTTATTTATTCAATTTAAATTCTGTCCAACCTATCTATTTTTCACCTGTAATATTTTGATATTTACCATTTCATAATTAGCACATTAGGAATTCACTAAAATGATAGGAATAACATTTAATAGGTGTTTGGAAGAACATTTGAGTTGAAGTCCCCGTCCATCGATTGATCACGCGAGTACGCATCCAGTCAGCGCATAGCGAATGAAAAAAGCGTTCATCCTGGATTCTCTTCCTCAAGAAAAATGTCTGTCAATTGATCCTCAAAGTCCAACAAAAAATATTTAAAATTGAAATGTAATAAAATATTAATGAAAATTGAAATTATGCTTGAACATAAATTACATATATAAATAAACAATCAATTTTAAGGTCTTTGCTCGTTAAAAATGCATATATATATTGAGAGGCAAAGCAGCTAAAAGCATGGCGCAGCTAGAGCTAGGGTGTCCGACACGTTTCGTCGGAAAATTACGTTATATATATATATATATATATGTCAAATTCTATATTTAAAGGATATATATTTAAAGTTAGATATCCTTGACAAAAGCTATATCTTTGACGTAGTCGTAATGGGCGTCCATTTGAATGAAGGAGTTTCAGGTTTGAACCCCAAATAACACAATATTTTTTTGTTTTATTTTAATAGTCACACACCATTATTCTTAGATACCCTTAATAAAATTTCTGGCTCCGCCATTGAATAAAAATATTTGCTTCACGCCCTTAAATTACCAATTCACAAGTAAATTGCGAAGCCATCAGAAATTGATTATCTTTTAATTAATTGAATTCTAAGACATAAAGAACAAAAACCAGCATCCCTTTAATAAAGGAATATTATACTAAAAATTTAAGACACTGCATGATTAAATATAAAGTTTTAATCTTTATGCTTAGTGGGCAATTTGTGTATTATTCCTTTACCACAAGTCATTGATCCTCCTTTTTAGACTTACACAACCTAAGGAGAGATCTAAACCAATAATTGAACAATAAACAAATAATAAAAAAAATATTCTAGGTATGAACCACAAGTTTTTATATTATTCTCTATTCAATATTTTGTGTTTGATGTCTGCATCAGGATCATATTATATTCAGAAAGTAAAGCACTTTCAAACTAAGAAAACTCCAAATCTGATAGAATTTGAACTCAAAATATTTGATTAATGATGAAAAAGATGTACTTATCATTCCAATACAACAATGAACCATGAGTTATTTATTTATTTAATTTGGTTTCATATGAAAGTATTTGATATTAGCTTTTGGGGTTACTTAATTCATTACTATCTTTAATCAAATGAGAAGTTTAAGATTTCCATTGACAAAAAGTTGCTAGTTTTATTTAATATATAAAATAAATAGAGGACCCCATTAAAACATTAAACAAATGATTTAACATAAATTAACAAAAAATTAAACACTAATTTTGACTCCACCTAGCTTTATGATTTTTCTTTGTTCCATTTTTTAATGCTTTATTAGTAGCGGTGAACAACATAAAAATTTGTGTGTTTTGTTTCTTAAAAAAAGGCACATTATGTGTATTTTGTATAATAACAATATATTCAGTAAAATTTTACGAGTGACATTTGAAAAGGATGAAGGTGTACGCAAATCTTAGTACCTTACTCTTATTTTTATGAATTAAAAAAAAACTTTTTCCGATAGATTATTTGTAAAGTTTTTTTAAAACGAAGATTTTAGTTTCTAGATGTTAAAAGGATCCTTGAATACCTTTTTAATTAGTTGTCAACTTTGAATTTTATTTTTTAATCTAGAAGTTAATTAGCATCATTTTCTCATGCTGTGACTTGTCACTAAACTATGCATTAATTCAAACTTAATCTTGAAGTCAATTACAATTACCCATTGTTCAAATCTAATGATTTAGGGTGGTCCTAATTAAATTAAATATAGACCATATAAAACAACTAATTATAAGGTCATCTACACAAGATTATACTTTAACACATTATATCATGCGCTCAAACTATCTCAACCTATCTTTTCTCATTTTATTCTCAATGTACGCTATCTACACCTTCTGAAGGTGTAGATAGCGTACATTGAGAATAAAATAAGAAAAGATAGATTGAGATAATTTGAGCATGTTTTACATTAACGACAAATATATCAGATTGTATGTATAAAATTATGATGAATAAAAGAGTTAAAAGAGAATTGTATAGAAGTAGAATCACGTGAAGAAAATTATGTTAAATAACTTGCAATTTATTAAAACTAATCAATACTTTATTATAGAATAGGGTACAATAGAGAGAAAAAAGATCCATAGAAGTGATTTTTACTAATTGGGACTGTTAGTACATAATTTTGAATTTATTGATTTTCTAGAAGTATTTTGACTTTATCATTAATTTATATGCCAATAAGAATATGGAGAATTTATTATTTTTTAATACTATATTAGATAGATGGATAGATAAGTTTTAGATGATTAAACTAATTAATGAACAATCTTTAATTAGTATGAAATAATTGATTCCAGCTTACAGCAAATATGCTTCATTATCCAGCAAATATGCTTGTGGTTTTGCCAGTTAAGAAGAATAATAATACAGTTTCATGTGCACCAGCTTGTTCTCTGTACACCCCGTCTCGAAATATTTGTCGTATTTTCTTTATATGTTTCTTAAAAAATATTAATTAGGGGAAGTATTTTAACTGTTTTATTGTTATTTATGTCTTAAATTATAATTTCTTCTTTTAATATTTATTTTACTTATGTGTTTGTAGTTTTTCAAGAATAATTATTCTTAAGAATTTTTTATTTTTTTAATCTTAAACTTCTAAAATAACAAATATTTTTAGTAAAGACAATAATAATCTGTTTGACCAAACTTTTAAAATCTGTTTACTTTGAAAAGTGTTAATTTGTCTTTTTTAATTGCACTTTTGATCCTCTTAAACCATTAGTGGAAAGATCTGTTATTTGATCTGGTGGAGGGAAATGAAATTAATATAAGAAACAATAAATAATAGGAGTAATATTGCTATATTATATTTTGAATATATTCAATAGAATGCTTTTGAAAAATGTATTAGACATTGAATAGTATCTAATAGCAAGGATAAAATGGATACAAATAGGTAATAATACATTGATTTTCTAAACTGGACGACTATTGTTGGACCTCTATTTTTAATATAGTGGACAAGTAAAAATGAACAAAGTATCATTAATCCTCCCGGCCTGCCTTTCAAATGAAATAATTATGAAATATCTTGGTCAGGTATTGGGTCCAACAGTCGGTTCGATCAAAGGGTGTACTTTTAGAATTTCGATCGGTGTAAACATGATACAAATTTTTCTTTGTCCTAAAGAGACTCCGAATGCTCCTTGTCCTAAGCCCCAAGCAACCGGTTACCTTAGCAGATCTCCGCTGCCTGCTGTTGCGCTATTGTTACTTACGACGCCTCTTCTCTTACGCAATTCCTGACTAGTTGTAGTGTATTGTCTCTTTGAGTGAAGAAGAGAGGAGCTTTATATAGATACTCTTGAGCCATTATTCTATTGATTGGTTCTAGCTCCAAAAAAGCAAATACATGAAGCTATGTCGACTTACCTACATCTTGTTGACTAAACGATTAGGTATACCACGCCACATATCATTGTGAACGTTAGAAACTATTGAGACTCTTTTCCGATAATTGAGAAATCTCTGAAGGTCAGTGGCACACAATTCACAACTCGATAGATAGTGAGTCAGATCTTCTACCCTTCTCCACTTAAATTTTTTGGGATTTCAAAATAAAGTTCTGTTTTGTTTTCAAAACACAACATATGATCTAGCAAAGCCTCATATGTCCCACACTAGATGGCTATATTTTACATGAAATATTTGATTATTCATTTTCCAAATTACAATATTACATCATTGGAAATGATAGATAAATAAATAAATGAAAAGAAAAATAATGTAAATATCAAAGAAAAAATCAACTGCATCATCCAATGAGACCTAATAATACTTCAAAACTGCAGATCAAGAGAAGAATTTCTCTTTCAAGATCTCTTCACAACAGTGAAATGATGGCAAAATTTGGAGATGAAGAGAAATTCATCTTCAAGATCTCTTTACCACAGCAGTGGCAAAGAAAGGATGGTGGCTGAACTCGAATTGAACCTTAAGCGACGCGTCAACAGCCCCTAGCCGGGAAATAAGACTTAGCGCAACACTGTTATGTTCAGCTACCTGTTCGATACGACGAAGCTCTGCCATTTTATCCGAATCATTAGAAAAATTGCTCCTTAGCTCCTTTGCTATTCTCTGAGTTTCTTTGAAGCAGTTATACATAGACACGCTCTGCATAATCAGAGTTTCATGTTACGTCCTGGATGAAGACCAAGTTTTGCAACCCCCTCCCCCCAGAACTAGCCCTCGAAAGGAAAAAAAGATAAGGCAAGTAATATATACAATAAAAAGAAAAAGAAAGACCAGAAAGGAAACATTTGTCAAGGATAACTCACAGATAGACGAGCATGAGCAGTTGTCTCCTCGAAAGAATAGTATGAGACATGATCAGGCAGGCAAGCTTTCAGAAGCAACTCAAAGTGCTGGACAAACCTCTGAGAAAAATTGCAAGATTTGTCAAGAATGGAAATGTATATCCTGTCACTACTAGACAAGCATATCAATGAGAGCAGATGTAAGAACTCAGCAACAATGGATGACAATTAGTTAGCTACTTGTGCTCTCTTCGGGGACATCCGATAAAATTGGAGCAATACAGAGAGGGTTAGCATGGCTAGACCCATGCACAAGGATGACATGCACAAATTGAGTGCTGGTCCAAAGAAAAAGTTGTGACAAATATCAGAAGGCACACCTCATGCTCACTATTGAAAGGTCCTGTACTGAGATAGATTTGCCGTTCATTCCTCAAAGCTGCAAGCATCTGGAGGAAGCAATAACCAATAAGTTCTCAAGCAATAGAATCAATTGTAAGTTCAACTAAAAATCTCACAGCAGTGTGCAGATATGAAATAGACGGTAAAACCAAAACGGGAGAAACGATTTGCAGGCTGTGAGCATTAGTGAAAGCATAATAAACAAAATCGAAAAAAGCTAATTACCATGGTAAGACCTTCAGCGAGATATACATGGCACTGAAGAAACAAAATTGCAGGTGGGAGTTGATTATCTTTTCCTCCATCTTTCACCAAATCTCTTTTCTTCTTCCCTTTCTTTTTACCTGATACAAGTCAAATATTTAGATAACGTGTCTCTTATGTGGAAAAAAACCATAATAATAAAATTCAATTGTATATTTGTTCTATATATAAGGTAGGGGTAAGGTCTGCGTACACTCTACCCTCCCCAAATCTCACTTGTGGGATCACAATGGGTACATTGTTATTGTTGTTGTATATTTTTTCTATATCCGTGGATGAGTTGCAACTCTATTAAAAGAAGTGGCAAGCAGATGCGACAGTAAAATGTTCTCAGAGTAATAATTTAAACAAGAGCATCCCTTAGGAAGGGAAACAAAAAAAGAAACCGAAGAGTGGGAACTGGGGATGAAGTCAACAAAAAAAAATGTCAACTGCGTGTCGGTAGTCGGTAACATCATTCCCCATGCTTTCTACCTCTATTTTTCTCATTCCAGCTCTCCAACTTAATACCTGGACATTCGATGTCTCTTGCTAGCTATTGCCTCGGCTCATCAATTGTCTACACTAAGACTCAACTAATTTAGCTCCTTCCCCAAGGGACTTTAGATATGGGCATTTAGATGGGTTGGGTTGTACCAAGTCCAAAGTTGTCTACAAGACGTAGCCATCAACTGATCAAGATTTACCTCAGTCAACAATTTTAGTAATTTATTATGGGAAATAGTAAATTCCTTTGGAAACTATTTGATAATCCTTATACGAGAATCAGTGACTTAGAGATCATATAAATGTTTGTATTCTTACTAATCTATACCCCAATCATGAAGTAATTCAGCACTGAGAACCTATTCAAAATTCTATAATATATATATAACTTTAGTGTCTAGTCAGCTTGTACATACCTCGATTATTCCACTGGATACCTGCTACTATAGAGGTGGACCTAGATTTTTGAAGGTGGCCGGTGCATAATTGCATTCAATATAAATCTATCACTGGTTATAAATACGGTGTAGGGGGTATGTATATCCATTGATATGGTCTCTCTGTATATGCACAAATCTCAAAGATATTAAGTATAATACAAATTGCTGAAGTTTTTGGGTGTTGGTGCACCCGTTCAGGTACTGGATAACTATGCCACTAAGCTAACGTAGATGAAAAACAATCACCTACTGTTATTTTATCTCTGCTATAATTTGAACCCTGATCTCCAACATTTGCACCACTTCATTGGCCACTAAGCCACAACCATAGGTGCAGTCAACACTAAATAACTTACATATGATAAAGCCACAATTGTTAATTTCAATATCTTGAGACCTCTACACCGTCTAGATATCAGATGTAAAAACATTTTAATGATTCAACTCATGCCTTCACAATTTTTTGGTTGAATACAATCTGAGTCAAACCATTACATTCATCATGAAAAATGAAATGTCAATGACCTTTTTTTTCCCTTCTTTTCTTCCCTCTGGTTTATTTTATTTTTTGGCATTCTAGCTAATGGCAGGTGATCTAATGACATAACATTCTAGCTCTATTCAACCATCCAGCAAAAAGTCCTCCTATACAAACAATTCAAGATCAAGAAACTTCAACAGGGAAACAGTGATATATCTAAAATTAGTTCAGATCTCTATAAGCTAGCCACTAATGACAAGTATCGTAAAGCTTCAACCAGTGAATCAATTTGTATGACCTTAGTACAGAGAAGGAGAAACCTATTATCCAAAAGATCTAACCCTTGTACAACAAAACTTTCAGTAGAAAACTAGAAATCCACATATAAGGTTACCAAGGATGTAGATCCAGAATTGTTCGACAGACTTACACCAACAACTAGGGAAAAAGAGATGGTTGGAACAAGCAGCATTCTTACTGATTTCATTGCTTGTCATTTCCCTCATATGTGTTCTCTCCGCAAGCTTGATCAGGATAATATACATGTACCAATAGACCATACAATATTCACCAGTAGAATACAAGTCTAATTCAAAGCCCAACATCAGGAAACGGGAAGCAATCCAGTATGTTTGCTCCTCCACCCATATGAGAATGTGTCTGCATATCTTCATGCAAATATTCTGCGACAAAATTCAGAAAATGAATAATAGTTTCCATAAGAGAAATGTTCCACTGAGAAGACGAGAGATCAAGAAAGATCAGTATTCTCCACTTTGAAGAAATGGCACAAGGTGGAAACCACAGCAGCAAGAGCTGCTTTACAGGTCCTCAAAAGCCATATTTCATTTTAGAAAGCTATTATTACAAACCCTCGAATAGTATTCTGTAGTTGCAGAGGATATTCACCTCGTTACTTGCAGTGGCTGAGATATCTCCGCACTCTTTCCTAAAAGCCAGTTCCAGCTAAGGAGAAATCAAAGAAACAAATGCAGAATTCAGCTCACAGGAAGGCGATTAACAAAACAAATAATATAGATGACTCAGTCGCATCAGCAGAAACAGAAGCGTATACTTTAACAAGTTTGACATTACTCAGCACCCTAGAAGATTTTATCGAAATCCAAACAGTAAAAGAAAATAATACATATGACCCAGTTGCAGCAACAGAAACAGAAGCCTCTACTTTAAACAAGTATGGCGCTGATAAGCTCAAATGGGGACACCAGAAAGGAGTTTATACAGTCAAGGAAGGGTATCAACAGTTGTGCTCTAGAAACCCCGTGATAGCTAACTGGCCCTGGAAACTCATTTGGAGGACCAAGCTACCACCTAAGGTAGTTTTTTTTACCTGGATAGCTCTATATGAGGCATGTCTCACCCAAGACAACATAAAGAAAAGAAAAATCCAATTCCCAAACAGATGCTATATGTGCAAAAAAGAGGCTGAAACCCCCAGACACCTTCTTCTTCATTGTGAGGTGGCCTCAGAATTATGGAGCATGTTTTTTTGTCTCTCTGGCATCAATTGGACCACACCCCTCACTGTTAAGGATGCATATGAGAGTTGGAGTCTATGGAAAGTTGACAAAGCCATCAAGAAGATCTGGATTATGATACCTGCTTGTATTTTTTGGTGTATTTGGTTAGAGAGGAACAAGAGATGTTTTGATGGAGAGTCAACTGCTTTAGGCATTTTGAAGACTAGGTGCACTGAAAATTTGTTTAGTTGGACCAACTTGTATCCTGCTGTTAATGCAGAACAACTTCAGGATTTTACTAACTCATTAGCTCTGGCTTAGATAGTTTGTATAGTTAGCCAGAGATTTTTTTGTAAGCTCAAATGCCATATCTTGTAAATTTTGCATCTTCCCGATGCTGTTATTAATACCACTTATCTTATAAAAAAAAAAAAAAAAACAAGTATGGCAATAGTGCAATACTCAGCTTCCCAGTTTTACACATGCCTTGATAGAAACCAATGTTACGAACCTAAACAGGAGAGGTTTGCTTTAACTAGAAATCTGATTCCATTGCACACCAGAAAATGCTCAGTCAGAGAACGTAATATGTCAATACATAAAGAGAGAGAGAGAGGGAGAGACGAGCTTGCAGGCAATAATACAGCAACCACTTTGTAAAGAGGAGGGGTGAAGTGCAGATTTTTCTGCAGAAATTAGTCGACTTCTTTTGGCGTTTCTGCTTCGTTTTTATCAGATCGAGCTGAAATTTGAACAGAGTGTTCCTTGCATCTTGATCTATGATTAGGAACTGACAGATCACAATTTGGAGTCCTATAGCTCCAGATTTTCAGCCAAGAACAGTGACTGAGTTTTTGGTGATTTCTCGCTTTTCTTGGTGCAAACTTGTAATGATCATTGCTGTGTTTGGCACTTGTTCTGTGACCATTTTGGAGAACCTTTGTTAACTATCTTATTGATTTAGTGGAGCTTTTGTCCGGTAAATTTTTTACTCTTCATATTGAAGAGGGTTTTCCACGTAAATTTGATGCCTCTTGGATTTGATTTATTTTTGCATTGCCATATTTATTTGTGGGTAATTATAGTTGCTGCCCGCTCCTTTTTTTGCTCGTGCTTGAGGTCTCCTCTTTGTTCAAATAGATTAGGGAATTTTACACTTGGTATTTCTTCCGCTGTTACCTTAGTCGTGCATTCTTGTTGCTTGTTTTGCCCAACAATTTGGTACCAGATCCAATGGTTCGGAGAGACGAGTATGGAGATCGGGGAGTATTGGTGTGGGGCCCAACTAAGCATCTTTGCTATCTACAGGCCAGTTTTCTATCTTTTGCCCATAACTTTGAAGACGGATTCACAAAAAAAAAAATCCAATAAGCTTTGATGACATAAATACTGGATGGTGTGGGTGACGCACAGTTAATCTCCGAATCAGCTCATGAATGGTAATGGGTCACGTGGAACTTGGTTTAAATAGGTCATCGTTGGGTGTGTGTGATCCAACATCTTATTAGTTGAACCAAGTTCCACGTGACCCTCAAGAAGCCACCAATAAGATGTTGGATACTCTTAATGGTACAAGGCCTTTTGGGGAAAATCTTGCGGGCTAGATCCGAAGCGAATAATTGTTTTTTTTATAAAGGTAACAATATATTAATATCAACAGGTATACTACACCAGAAACTGTGTAGTCCCCCTCAAAAAGTAGGCCACTTACAAAATGGGCTCCTATATGTTAAATAACTTGCAAACTGCCAAGAACATTAAAAATATCTTCAGTTTGTCCTAACAGATTCTGTTTATACCAAAAATAATAGAGGCCTAGATAGTTCATCAAAAACTTCTGAATGCTGCATTACTTGCCCTCAAAATATCTCTGATTCCTTCCTTTCTGTCCAGACAGACCACCAAATACAAGTTGGGACAATCTTCCATCTCTCCTCTCTTCTAGCTGCATTGCCATCACTATTCCAGCAGTTTAACACTTCTTTGATTCTTCCTGGCATTAACCATTTTATCTTCCTCAAGTTGATGAAGATTTTCCATAGCTGATCTGTCCATTTACAAAGCAAGAAAAGATGACGAATTGTCTCTCCCTGTTCATTACAAAAGTAGCATCTGGAGCATAGTTGTATACCTCTCTTGATCAACTTTTCATGTGTCCGAACTTTTTCTTTAGCCAATAGCCAGGTGAATCATGCTACCTTATGAGGTACTTTGACTTTCCATATCATCTTCCATGGCCAAGAGCCCACCTGATTGTTGTACGAACTGAAATCTCTGTAAGCAGAATTTACGGAGAACTTCCCTTTGTTGTCAAACTACCAGATCAGGCTGTCCTACCCTACTGAGAAACCATTGAAGTGGGATAGAATTTGGAAGAACTCTGCTTCCTAATCAGTCTCCCAATCATTTAAGTGTATTCTAAAGCTGTGATTCCATCCTTGTCGTGTTCACATGTCAGCCACTGATGCTTCTTTTTTTGAGAAAGTTAACTGGTATTATAAACAAAAGGAAGTACACCAATAGTGTGCTCCTAAGTAGTTACATCAAATTATGAAGGGAATCCTAAGTAGTTACATCAAAAATATGAAGGAACATCCAAAACAAATCTATCACCTATATCCATTATAGACTATCTAAAAACAGAGTGATGTCCCCTATATCCTTAGGTACAGATTGAATACACCAAAAGTAGAATGTTGCTAGACAGTTCATCTTCATACTTTGGAAGGAAATGCTCTTGTTCTCAAAACATCTCTGATTTCTCTCCTTCCAAATTGTCCACCAGATGCATGCAGGGACAATCTTCCATCTCTCCTTGTGTCCTGATTGATTTCCATCCCTATTCCAGCATGCTAGAGCTTCTACAGTATGTCTTGGCATGGCCCATCTAATACCCCTGAGATTAATGAACCATTGCCATAATTTTTCAGTCACTTTACAGTGTAAAAAAAGATGGTTTACTGTCTCTGTTTCAGCTTCACAAAAAAAACATCTGGAGCATAACTGCCTTCCCCTTTTCATAAGGTTGTCCTGAGTCAGAACTGCTTGATGTGCAACTAGCCAGGTGAAGCAAGCCACCTTATGAGGTATCTTCAATTTCCAGATCATCTTCCATGGCCAACCTTCTTTTGTGATGCAATCCTCATCATGCTATCAAAACCTTCGATTGACAGACTGAAAAGGAAAGGAGAAAGTGGATCTCCCTGTCTCAGCCTCTTTCTTATGTAAGAAAACCCACAAGTTCTCCATTCACTAGAACAGAGAACCTGACTGTTTTGATGCAAAATTCAATCCACTTCACCCATTTGCTACCAGATCGTATCTGTTTGAGAGTATTCAAAAGGAATGTCCAAGTAACATGATCATACGCTTTCTGTATATCCAACTCACACATTATACCAGGTGTTCCTCCTTTCATTCTTGAATCAATGCATTCACCGGCTATGAGTGTTGCATCCATGATTTGCCTCCCTTTTATAAAAGCCATTTGGTCCTTGTTGATCAATTTACTTACAACCTTTTTCAGCCTTTCTGGCAGCAATTTACCAATAATTTTATATACTCCTCCTACCAAGCTAATTAGTCAGAAATCTTTCAACTATTTTTTTTTGAGAAAGTTAACTGGTATTATAAACAGAAGGAAGTACACCAATAGTGTGCTCCTAAGTAGTTACATCAAAATATGAAGGGACATCCAAAACAAATCTATCACCTATATCCATTATAGACTATCTAAAAACAGAGTGATGTCCCCTATATCCTTAGGTACAGATTGAATACACCAAAAGTAGAATGTTGCTAGACAGTTCATCTTCATACTTTGGAAGGAAATGCTCTTGTTCTCAAAACATCTCTGATTTCTCTCCTTCCAAATTGTCCACCAGATGCATGCAGGGACAATCTTCCATCTCTCCTTGTGTCCTGATTGATTTCCATCCCTATTCCAACATGCTAGAGCTTCTACAGTATGTCTTGGCATGGCCCATCTAATACCCCTGAGATTAATGAACCATTGCCATAATTTTTCAGTCACTTTACAGTGTAAAAAAAGATGGTTTACTGTCTCTGTTTCAGCTTCACAAAAAAAACATCTGGAGCATAACTGCCTTCCCCTTTTCATAAGGTTGTCCTGAGTCAGAACTGCTTGATGTGCAACTAGCCAGGTGAAACAAGCCACCTTATGAGGTATCTTCCCCTTCCAGATCATCTTCCATGGCCAACCTTCCTTGGTTTCAGTTGAGATATCCAGTAGCTTGTATGCTGATTTCACCTTGAACTTGCCATCTTTATCCATCTTCCACAACAATCTATCTTCCTCAAAATTAAGGCTCTTAGCTTGTTCCAAAGTATTGTAGAATTGGATCATTCTCTCCACTTCCCAGTCATTGAGGAATCTTCTGAAGGACAGATTCCAACCTTGTGCATTTTTGATCTGTGAGATTGTAGCTAGCTTCTGTTGATTAAGATTATAAATGTCCGGAAACTGTTGCCTTAAAGGTGTTTGCCCCACCCATACATCATTCCAGAACAAGGTCTTTCTGCCATTGCCCACTTTGATCACAGTATTACCCCACATTTTTGGCCATTGATTTCTGATAGTTCTCCATAGTCCCATTTCATAAGGAATTTTAACTTCCTGAGTAGTCCATGGTCCTTCCCTACCATATCTTGCAATGATGATGTCCTTCCACAGGCCCTGCTCATCTGCTGCCAGTCTCCATAGCCATTTTAACAGAAGACTCTTGTTTTGTGCTTTCAAGTTCTTAATTCCTAGACCTTCTTTTTTGTTGGTTATAGCAATCTCCCACTTGATCAAGTGATGCTTCTTCCCCCCTTCACCATTACCTTGCCAAAGAAAGTTTCTTCTGATAGCATCCAACTTTTTGATGATCTTTCCATGAATTGGAAAAAGGATAGGTTGTGTAATTCTGGAAATAGGTATTTCAGTGTATCCCCAACTTAGTTATCATTCCAAAAGGATATTTTCCTTCCATTACCAACTTTGAATCCCACTTTAAGAATACCTTTGTATTGTTCTAACCCAACATAATGTCCATTCACTCCCTTTGGGTCCTTTTGATACCTAACTCAATAATTCGTCTTTTAAGACAATTTAAGGTTCTCTACAACTAGAGGTTCTCTACATTTTCTAAAGGTATAGAAATCACCAAACAAGAAGGGGAGTGTTAGCACAACAGAAAGGGTTCTCTCCGTGAGACCAGGAGGTCACAGGTCCAAGCCATGGAGACAGCCTCTTACGGAAATGCAAGGTAAGTCTCTGCCTACAATTAACCCAATGTGGTCTAACCCTTCCCTAGATCTTGGGCATAGCAGGCACTTAGTGATTGAGTTGCCCCTTTTTAATACAAATCTCTAAGAAAACATCTAAAGATCAATAAGCTAGCGACTAAGATTTGATACAAATATCAATTCACTAAAATGAGTACTACTCTCACATAAGGGCAAAACATACACATTTGAGTAAATTCTACGTTGTATATCTACTCTTTAACAGCAAAAGAATATTGTTAATAAAATTGATTCCCACTAACACCTTAACAGATGCATCCTGCATCTATCAGCAGTTAACTTATTTTAACTTACCATGTCCAAGGCACAGGATTTCAATACAACCTTAGGAAAAACACACCTATGTAGACCATCATAAAGACAGATATTTGTTCATATTCCACTTGCATTCCGCACCAATCATCATGCTTATATCTAAGTAAGAAAACATTTGAAGGACTGTGGTTTACTCAGTATACGTTTTTTTATCTGCCAACTTGAACAAGCGAAGAGTTCAAATTCTAATTCTGCTTTAGCATCCGAACATGGAGGAATCTAAGACGCAGGCCACAAAATGTATAAAAGTAATGATCACGATAAAAAAAGAAAGAGGCAAATACACAAGAATAGAAGTACAAATGGGATAAGAAACGGCATTTCAACAAGTGTATACTGTTCAAACCTGTACGTGTATGATGCGCCAATCTTGCAAAATCTTTCCAAGTTTACGCCTTTGCCACGAAATGTTGGTACAAAGAACTCGAAGCAAAGTGATTAACAACTGTTTTAGACAAAAGCATGTTTTTAATGGTGACAGATCTCATTAAATAGACTAGGCAAAAGGAATTTGATCAAAGCAGAAACCTAGCCAATTAGGCGACAAATAAAACCCAAAACAGATCAGTTTGACATTTTACGAGTACCAATAGGCACAGAAAAATTTGAGGATAGATTTTTTATCAGAAGCTCTGGACATAGAAAGTCTCCCTTTAATAAACTCATGCTTACTTGCCCAAGCTGTACAACAGTTTCGTTCTTCTGAATATCATGGTTCTTCGCCACCTCAGGTAACAAAGAAGCTTTACAAATCACAGCAAAGACAGAGTCACGCCCATAAAGCTTCCCATCTTGAACCAGCAAATGCTGTTGATTAGTCTTTCACATGAGAATGTCATTGAGAAAAGATAAAATATATCTTAAAGTTCAACAAGTTAAAAAAAATGAACTTGGATCACAAATTCTGCTACATACAATAGAAGATTAGAAGGCAAATCATAACCAGTATATGAGCCATAAGTTATGAACCCTCAACCCCACAACCACCCCTCTGGACGGCTGATGAATGAATAATCTTCTGGTGACATATTTTTCTTCATGTGAATTCAGATAGAAAATATCTTTGTTGATTCTTGATAACTCGAAAAGCTAATGCCAACCTTTTGCACCATAACTACAAGGCTTATTCAGTCATAAGATGGCCCAATAATAACTAAATATTATGCAAAAACATTAACTAAATTTAAACATCTGAGTTCCCAAAAACTTGTAGAGAAAAGATGAGCATAATAGCTTAACAGAGATCCTTGTTCTGGGATAAACTTCCAATCACGTCATCACCACAAATACCAAGATGCATTAACATGAAAATGTGAGTTATCCTCTGTGCATATGTTAGCAAAGTCATTGACTTTGGGAGCAGAAAAATAAAAACCTTCAATCCTGTACAGTTCACTTCATGGCTTAATCACTAGGCCTAAATTTAAGAAATAACTTTTTCTGAACTCTACGATCCATACTTTGGGTCTATACACCGACGGGCGACGATGATTTAGGATTACATAAATACTTAGTATTCCTCTCCCTGCACAAATTCTTCTTTGGACTACAAGAGTAAAGACAGCAACTTAATGTGGGATGTTCTAAGAGTTGCCTACATCAGCTTCCCATTTCAGGGACTAAGTCATTGAATTAACAAGATTAGAACAGGCAAAATTGATGTGCACAATGTTCATGAATGGACGCATGCAGAATTTATATGTGCTATAAATTACCTGGAGATGAGCTCTAGCAACCAATTCTGGTTGAAACTTTTGAAACTCGACCACAAATCGTAAAACACCTTCAAAGACTGGATCTAAACTGTAGAAACATATGATCTCTAGTTCATGAAGAAGCTTTTGGAAATATTCAGCTGCCTGGTAGAAGAATACAAACATGATTTGCTGTACTACTTGGATCAAAGCAAGGTGCTTGTGTGCTTTTTCATGCCTTACCTTCTTCCAGCTAATTGTCTCGATAGCACGAGGTGGAGTTGGAGCCGATAATCTACTATTTAAGGTAGAATCAAACCCAACAGGTTGACAACCTGAAGCTGTTGTTTCATTTTTCATTCCATCTTCCAAAGTTCCTGGTGCATTGATAGACCTCAAGAATTCTGCTGACTTAATCATGGATTCTAACTCTTCAAAGCAACAAGCAATATGTTTCTTTGCCAATTCCAAACCTCTGCCTTGTGGTCTCTTCATATTTGTGACAACATGGTAAAAGTGCTGGAAACACCAAAGAGAGGATAGTATAAGTATTAAGAGGAACAGCAGTGACATTTCTCAGTTAGGCCGGGTGACATACATTATCTATTTACAAATTAAATAGAAAGGTGCAAAGATGTAGAATCACTACGCCTTATTCATTTGTTCATTAATCAACTGTGGGATGAACCAGCAAGAACTCTACGGATTTTACAAGTTAGAGCAAGTTGAATATAATTTTATCCGAAACCCCTTTTCATACATACATCATAAAGGGAGCTGGTCTACAAAACAACATAAAAGTAATTCTCTCATTGCTAAAGAAACAACTAATTAACTCCATTTCTTTCATCTCTGCAGTCTGCCCAAGGCCTTAGCAACAGTGAGGTACTGGCTTAAGTCTTAACTCTTAACAGCCAAAGTAGTTAGAGCATGCACAAGTGTTTATATTCCAAAATCCCTGACCAGTAAAATTTAGATTAGATAATTATCCTTCGTAGTGCATTTGATTGCAGGGATATTCAATATCGCATGAGATCAAGTTTTTTTTAAAAGGTAAGTAGATTGTATATTTAAAATGAAGCGACTTAGCACCAAGATGGTTCTTGGTGGTAAGGCAGTATTCAGGAATCCCATGGTATAAAATACAACAACTGTTACGCCTCAACCTCAAACAAGTTATGGTTTGTCATGTGAATCCTCATTGACCATGTTTCTCCATTTAATTTCATCTCAAATTAACATTATACAAAATAAAAATAAAGATAAAAAGTACAAGAAGTTCTATATAATTTGCACTTGTATAAAAATCTCTGATATGGCTAAAAGACTCAAGAAAGCTTAGACCTAAAGGAAACATACTAATAAGAAAAAATATTTTCTCAACTATTGCAATTGATATCGCCTACATAGATCTTCTTCAATTGTGCTCAACATTTAGTCTGCATGGATTCCAAGAGATTGTGCAGAAGATCTTTTCACATTGTCAATAAACGTTATATGTGCTATCAGAACATGGAAACAAACAGACACCTATTTCCTCCATTGGTGCAGTAGAAACATGTTTTTCTCTATTTTTGAACTTAATTGGGTGTTACAAGAAAGCATTAAGGATGCCTACAGAGCTGGGGTCTATGGAAAGTTGGTAAATCCATCATGAAGGTCTGGAGAACGGTTCCTGGATGTATATTCTGGACAATTTGGATAGAAAGGAGAGAAGATGTTTTGATGGTTTAGCAACTCCCTTGCACTCCCTAAAAGTTCAAGGTTTAATTTTTTTAAGTAGGTGGAGCAGTCTATCCCCTATTTGCTCCCCTGAGTCTCATTTGGTTTTTGTTAGCTCCCTATCCCTAGCATAGGACTTTTGTAATAGGGCTAACAATCTCTCCTTTGTAATCAGCACATGCACAGTGCTTTTATGCATCTTCTTGATGCTTTTAATACTATTGTTACTTCATAAAAAAGAGGAATTGTTCTCAAAATGTTATGCCTGGTTCACCTAGGGTACATGCTTGAAGAATAATTTAATTATGGAACCTCTCCTTTTCTCTCAGCTCTCCTCCTACTTTCATTATCAAGTATTTATAGCTTGGTCCGGTTATACCTTTAATTATTTTTTATAAAGTAGTTGGAATATCTTTCCAAGATCTGGCAATAAATGTTTACAGAACTATATGCAAATTTAGCCATAGGGCTAGATCCACCTAATCCCCAGCCCCAAAGGACCCTAGCTTTTCCCCTTTCCTAAAGGTTAGCTCACTTCTAAATGGATAAAGCTGTCCATTATTCTTAATTTCTTGGTAAATATTACCGACCAACCCTTGACTCAAAAGGTAACAAGCTCCTTGTGTCATCCAGGTCTCATCTCAAGTAATAAACTAAATACAACTGAAAAATGAATTTTGTCAATACCTATAACCAAACATGGGATAAAATAATCCCGGGATTATTATCCTTATTTTTTTTTGAAACTGGTAAAGTTGAATTCTTCAGCATTAAGGGTATGCTGGCTACCTCCAAAAAGGGATGATTACAGATTTCATATCAAATCTATAATCTGATCTATATCATTTATACAAAGCTGTTTACACCAAAAAAGTAGAGATACTATACAATTCTATTTAACTTTGTGGATGGAATTGGATCTATCTTCAAAACATCTTCCATTTCTTTCTTTCCAGACTGACCACCATACACATGATGGTATTAGCTTCCACCATCTCTTTTGACTCTTACTGCCTCCCCTCCTAACCCAGCAGCTCAACAAATGCAGCTCAACAGATCTGATGTATGTTTTGGCATTGTCCACTTCATGCTTGTGATGTTGAGAAACAAGTTCCAAATTTGAGCGGTAAACTTACAATGCAGGAAGAGATGGTTATTTGTTTCCTCTGTCAAGTTGCACAAAAAACACCTAGGAACCAGCTGCCTGCCTTTCTTCCGTAGAACTTCTTCTGTTAAACATGCTCTCTTTATCACTAACCAGGTGAAACACTTTACTTTTGTAGGAATGTTACTCTTCCAAAAGTAATTCCAATTATATTTTGGGCCCCCTGTCATCCCCCGTAGTCCTCTTTTGTAGGCATTGTTGACTGAGAAGACTCCATCCTTACTATGTTTCCACAGGATCTTGTCTGTTGTTCTTGTGGTTATAATCGTTCCAGCTAGTTTCCCCATTAGCGCTGCCACCCTCTCCACCTCCCATTCATTAAGTAGTCTTCTTAAAGATATGTCCCATCCATGTTCTGTCCAACAATCACTCACTCTAGCATCAGGGTTCTCGCAGATTAGAAACAAATCCGGAAAAAGTTCCCTAAGAGAAGTTTGGTCTATCCAGCCATCTTTCCAAAATTTAGTTTTGTTTCCATTACCCACCTTGATATACATATTTCCTTCCATTTGTGACCATAGGTTCTTGATTGTCCTCCATATCCCCACCCCATATGGTTGAGAGGTGATTTATGTACACCAGGGGTTTAGTTCTCCATATTTTGCTACTATAACCTCCTTCCAAAGAGCTGCATCTTCCTCAGTGTATCTCCACAACCATTTCATCAAAAGGCTTTCATTTTGCAGCCTCAAATTTCTGATCCCTAAACCCCCTCTGTCTTTGCTAAGAAGTGCATTCTTCCAGTTGACTAAGTTAAAGCCCTTTCCCTCCTTATTGCTTTTCCATAGGAAGTTCCTTCTAAGCTTGTCTAGTTTTTTCACCACCTTTACTGGAATTGGAAACAAGGACATCACATAGGTTGGCAAAGAATCCAGAACAAAGTTTATGAGGATCAATCTACATTCTACCCCCTAGGGATAGGTATTGTGCCTTCCATCTATTTTTTTGATGAAGTAAGAAGAATGTCATTAACAAAGCATCAAGCAGATGCACAGATTACAAAAGAAAGAAATATCAGCTCCCAAAAAGGCAAAAAAAAGCTATCAAAACAGCTAACAGCAGAGATCTATGGAGCTGATAAATTCTAGGAAAGAATCGACACTAAGTACAGGAGAGAGATTAACCCAACCAAAAAGAGTAATCAAACATCTTGCTTTAAAGGTAGAGATGGGAGTTGGGGTGCCATCAAAACATCTTTTGTTCCTCTCCGTCCATAAGCACCACAAAATACAGGCTGGAACCAAAGACCAGATCTGCTTGACGGACTTCCCAACTTTCCAAGAACTCCAACACACAAAAACCTCTCTCAATGATCTTGGCATGACCCAAGTGAGTCCAAAAAGTGAGAAGAACATGTTCCATAGGCCTGTTGCAACTGTGCAATGAAGGAACAAGTGATTAATAGATTCTGAGTTGCACAAGCACATGTAGCATCTGTTGACTATTTGGAATTTCCTCCTCATGAGATTATTCTGAGTCAAGCAAGAGTCTTTTAGAGTAATCCAACTGAAACAAATAACTTTAGGTGGCAACTTAGTTCTCCAGATTAATTTCCATGGCCATTGATCAATTAAGGTCTTTTTGGAGCTTTGTTGAAGGTAGCATGCTTTAACTGTGTAGGATCCATCCCTGCTATGTCTCCAGATAAGTTTGTCCCTGCGTTGACTGTTGATTGCACTAGTCTGAATGGTGGCCATAAGGCTAAAAACCTCTTCCAACTCCCAGTCATTAAGATTTCTCCTTAGGATCAGATTCCACACATTGTCTTCCCTGTACTG